TACACCTCACATTACACCTCACATTACACCTCACATTACACCTCACATTACACCTCACATTACACCTCACATTACACCTCACATTACACCTCACATTACACCTCACATTACACCTCACATTACACCTCACATTACACCTCACATTACACCTCACATTACACCTCACATTACACCTCACATTACACCTCACATTACACCTCACATTACACCTCACATTACACCTCACATTACACCTCACATTACACCTCACATTACACCTCACATTACACCTCACATTACACCTCACATTACACCTCACATTACACCTCACATTACACCTCACATTACACCTCACATTACACCTCACATTACACCTCACATTACACCTCACATTACACCTCACATTACACCTCACATTACACCTCACATTACACCTCACATTACACCTCACATTTCTCGGGGCCATCACGCTACTTCAGTTGGGACGGGGACGGCAAACTCCCAAAAACGATTCGAAGACCGAGACGATCGCTGCAACCCCTCCGAGATCTTCTCTTCCATCTCCACCATTTACTCTCGCGGGGATTTTTTTTAAATCTCGAGTTGAGATTGCGTCACGAACGGTAATGCACGACTCCAGAAACGGGAAATTCGGCTCAACGATGGCAATTCTTAAATATTTCGCGCTGCAAGAGGTGTCACTCGAGGCCGACTCGGACTATTATTATATTATTATTATTATTATTATTATTAACTATTCCATTCTATTAACTTATTACTCCATTCTACAGGGTGGCCACTATGTCCGGCCACCCCTGCCGCGAATTCCACGAGTCCCCATTTCATCATTGTAATGCAAGTTAATTGCTTGCATCATGACTGATGCAAGCAATTAACCCACCACCGAATAACGTGTTCTTGCCATCTTCTGCGTCCGCAAACGTCCACAAACAGGAATGTGGAAGAAATTAGTGACGATTTCAAGCAATGATTCAACGAAGAAGCTCCTGCTTCCCTGCGGTACCTTGCATCCCTGCAGCTTCCTTGATCTATCCATGATCCTGTACATATTAAGTACTTTTTTGCTAAGTACTAATTTCTAAGTACTAATAATTAAAAACTAAGTACTAAGTACTAAGGACTGATTACTAAACACTAAAAACGAAAAACGAAATACTAAATAATAAATTCTAAGTACTAAGTACTAAGTACTTCCTGGATCCAGGAAGACACTAGCATGGGTTGATTGCAGTTCCATTAGACCTGCCCAGGAGCCATTTCCTCTCGTTAATTATCGGGTTCCAGCTCTCAAAGTCTCGGAGGACTCATTAGGGAAATCATCTGCCTGCGGATATTTTGCATTGGAAATATTTTTTTTAATCTTCCGCATTAGATTCTGAAGAATCAGCTTGAGAAGATTTGCGAGAGCATGCAATAGAATCCGGATTAGAATCAAAATCCGGATTCCGATCCGGAAATGAAGCCAAAGCCTGTCTTTTTTTTTCGCGAGCGGGAAAGGATATTCCCCGGAAAAAAATGCTGAGTTTCCTCTTTGATAGAATCTGGGTCAAGAAAACAAGAACTTCGAGGTCGATGAAAGGAAATAAAACCAATAAATACATTTTAAAAATCTTTGAAAAATATATGCTTGCAAAAAAAATTCCAGCATTCCGCATTTGAAAAGCGGGCAATTTCTCATCTCATTGGTCATGAGGGCCTCTCGTGGTCAGCGCGGGGGTCGAAGGCGCTTCGAAGAATATTTCACTTTCGATTAGCTCCCAATTAGCTCCCAATTGACTTCCGAATAGAGCCATGCATTCGGCCTTAAACTACTCAGACTTTGTGGGAGTAACTTTGATTCCTTCCGAATTCCACCGGAATGATTTTTCCTCATTAGAGTGATTGATGCTCGAGAAAATGAATGTCCCATTCGTAAAGAATATCCCATTAAAAAAAAAGTTTTAATGTTCTTCTTTGATTCAGAATAAAAGAAATGAGGATCATCGCAGGAGCCTCGAGAGAAATGAAGAGCAGAGAACGGTTCCATTTGCGTCTCTATCAGAATGCCTGCAGGGTCTCTGTACGTATAATATGTATGTTTACATACGAGATACACGCAGCTGCTGATGGTTGCATATCGGATCTGATAGGAATACTTCCTGACCCTTTCCCTCGCGGGAAATCAACATGAATTCCCATTCTGATGGAAAGAATCATTCCTCGGTATGGTGGCCGCTGACACCAGAATCATCCCAAGGCAACGGGAAAGGCATATTCTGATGCAAATCTTATGCGACATTATAAGGATCTCATGTTCTTTGCGTGATGATCCACAGTACCCATTTCTGCAGAATTTCTTCCTCGAGCACATTACCACTACATGTTGGAATGAAAACAAAGCGTTGCAGAAATGTAAGGATGTTTTACCTCCCTCTCTCCCTCTCTCCCTCTCTCCCTCTCTCCCTCTCTCCCTCTCTCCCTCTCTCCCTTATCTTGCACGCGTTGTCCTCGCTTCCCTCCCTCATCATTCGCCCTGTGTCAACGCATTTCCCACGTCTGCCAGGCATCCTCCAGCGTCTTCTCCGCATTCTCCAGCGTCGACAAGCATAAAAGTATTTTAATTTCGAAAGGGGCGGTGTGTTTTTATTGTTGGGATGTGCAAGAGAAGATCGTGCCGGTTTGATCGGATCTTCATAATTTTTTGTGAGAAGGTCAACAGATGCAGATCTCATCCGGATTGATGATGGCAGGATCGGATGATTGAAAGCATCAGAGGAAGGAGGCAAAATTTCCTCGCAAAAACTAACACTGATCATCCCTTGCTCTTCCTGGTAGTTTCATCGGCTTTACAAAATGCCTGAGAAGTCGTGAGAAATTCGCGAGGAAATGTCTTGCTTGAATCGGCTTTCAATTGCAATTCAATTGGAAATTAAATCAGTTGAATCCACGGCGAAGAAGAGCCTTGAAAATCCTGATAATTATTTTATCAAAGCCTCGAAAAACAATTGCGCTGCAGTGGCAGTTGAACTCCGAGACTTCTCGTGCCTGTCTGGAGATTTCCAGATTGTACTTATTCGTCGGTATGAAGCCCATACCGATGAGGTTTTCGTTGGTGTGTGTTCCTCTGGTTTCATGATCTTTCCTTGCCTGCTGAGAAACTTGCTATCCTTCACCAAGGGGGTATCCCTATGGTTTTCCATCATGGACGCCTTTATTTGCCTCCAAAACCAAAGGGTCCTTCGTGTGCCCGTTCCATCCAAGAAGTGAACGATTTAAAAAAAAACAAAACAATAAACCTGATCATACTTTTTAAAAACTTAATTTCCAACCTGGAATGCGATGGGATTCATCGGAGGGCTGTCCGAAACGGCGTCCATTGTCCCACTCATGGTCATTTCCTTAGAAAGGTTCCATTGAATCCGGAACAGCTGTCGAACAGGATTTCTGCCTCACCCTGCTTTGGCTCTTTGCCTTCTTATTCTGTGTCATCCCTTTGGTGGTGCCAGGCATCCTCCACGTCCCTGAAGGATGTTCCACCGCCTGCAGCTTCAACTATCTGACTACGGGTTTCGCCAATGTCGCCTTCATCCTGGCATTCTTCGTCGGAGCCTGGCTTCTCCCTTTCATCGTCATCACGTCCTGCTCAGGGACTTCGTGATTGATCCCCCGAAAGTAAGTTGCAATGAAATGTGGCAATCCAGGAAAACTATGGCAGCGTAGAAAAAATGCAAGCTCTTCGAGGCTACAGCCACCTTCGTCGCTCTCTGATTTCTTGCCTGCGTTGGTTTCTTGAACTCCGTAGAAATAGAGAAACTCATCTTCCCGAATTCGTAAATGGTCCCCACCATCTGCTGCAAGCTCTGCAGCGCAATGGAGCTGCTGTATATATCGTGTGGGACTTTCTAGAATTCATGCCGATGTGGAATCTCCTCAGGGAGAGAAGGCAGTTTGATCAATCGCGCGGTTTTCGCGAAATATTCTCAATGTCGCACGAATTTCACCGTAGCTCTACTGTCTTGCTCACACAGAATAAAGAGACGCGAAGAAGCGCCTCACCCTTTGGGGGAAATTAATTTTTTTTATTTTCGGAGGAATCGCTGTGGAAAATACGTCAGTGAATAATTCGTGAAGCGGCATTAAATTAAGGATTTAGCAGAGTCTTAGCAGATTTAATAGATCCCCCCCCCCCCAAATTAAAAAAAAAAAAACTTTAATACTTTAAAAAATATAGAGACAGATACAGTATACTGTACAGGCTCAGCACTCTTCACACTTTCCCTGGGCGTATGTACAGTATTTGAAGGACAATTTGTGCGTTTACGCCTGCCTTCGGGAAAATTTACATTCATACGACATCCAGATGGTTTCAATAATTCTCTGTGTCATTTATATTCTGCATCCCACAAGGGAGAACTCCGATTTCTCCAGGCGCCACAAATCCTTTGCCAAATTTACCGTTAAGCACTATGACTGAATACGAGCAGAGCGGAGTTCCATTCCAGGGACTTCTCCTCGTTGTGCATGCATAAATAGGGTTCCTAATGGTCCTTCAGGGTTTCTCATGGTCCTTCAGGGTTTCTATGGCCCTTCAGGGTTCCTAATGGCCCTTCAGGGTTTCTATGGCTTTGTCGAAATCGGAGCCGCTTGAAGTTTTCAGTCTGGCTCGAGTGGGTGGCCGCCGATGGCCGTTTTTAACGTTTCAAGGTAGAGACGCGAAGAGGCATGCTTGCCCATCTTGTCGCCGAGCATTCAGGTGCAATGTGGAAAATACAGTGTGTCCCCAAAAAATATCTAGTACTCTTTGCTTTGCACGATATTTACTGGATGCACTGTGCAGATGCGAGAAGATCCGCTTTCAGCAGAATTCCTGCCGAACCCTGCAATCCGCGTGCATCTGTCGAGCGAAAAGTGCATGCCAATTTCTACTCCATTTTTTTTCGTCTCTCGGTGGCAAAATATGTTTGACTGTCGATTTCGATGTGCGTCAGAGAGGAAATATGGAAATAAATGATAGCAAATTGGCTCCGCTGAAGGAAGATCCTTTCCATCGAATTTATAGATTTCGCAAAATTAATTAAATTTGCATGGAAAAATATTGGATTTTTTACACGCTGAAAAGCGAGAGCATCAATCAGGCAAAAAAAATCACGAAATACCGAAAAACCCATCACGAGACGGCGGAATTCGGGCCGACCGGCATGAGGGCCTGCAAGTACTGCGTCTGGACCTCGTGCTCCTCGTCGAACGTCCCGTAGTCCTGCAGGACGTCGAAGTACTCCGAGTTCCACGGATGGGTGTTCACGACGGCGTCGTGCAGGCAGAGCGAGTTCACGCACCCGCTCGAACTCGCGTCCACTTCGAAGCCGTCGCCGGTCAGCTCTGCGTGGTACTTCATTATTGCTAGAAGAAACATTTAAAAAATAATAAATTTAAATAAATTTCAAAGGAGGAGTATGATTGAGTATTTAAATATTAAATGCCTGAGCATTATAGATTTAAAAATGTTGATATTCATGGGGACCTTTCGATTTTAAAATGAATTTCAGATTGGAAATTGTTAATTTTATTCGTGGAATCGGTAATTAGTGCATGAATTGCAAGCGGAATTTTAGTTTTGCAACACTGAGAATTTCACGAAAATGGCAAATCCGCTTCCCTTCTTGTGAAAGGAATAGCCGATAATTGAAAATTGATAATTGATGATTGACCAGAGACGGAAGCTAAACGTTTCACGATCTCCTTTAAAAATTAACTAAATTAAAACGATTTAATTAATTTAAATTAATTTAACTAATACAATAATTTATTAAAATTAAATATTCTGGCAGACTTTTCAAGTTGGTTCCATCCCATCCTTTCTTTCATAAATTTTTAAATACCTGCAAAATATATGCATCAAAAACGCAAAGTATCGCGTAATAAATCTGATTTGGAACCGGACCGACCGGCGTTCATGGACTCCAAGCCGGACGCCATCCTCGCCCAGACCCAGCAGAGCGCCTTGAGCTTCGCGACGGTCCCGTCCGGGATCCCGCCGTAGCCGTCGAGGTTGAACGCGGCGATCTTCCCGTCCGTCGCCCCGTTGACGTCCCACTGGCTCAGGGTGTTGAAGAAGTCGTTGGACACGTTCGAGCCGGCTGAGTGAGCGATCACCATGATCAAGTCCCCGTTCATTTGCCACAGCAGATTGCTGCCATGACAGGTGGAAAAAATTAAATTAATATAAGTATGAATATAATAAGTAAAGTAAATAAATATAAGATTCTTAAAGTTGATAGTTGAAGCTAAGGTGAGTTTCCAGGTAATAAACATATGTTGTGACAACGTTGTGGAAATGTTGTACCGCAACATATATAATGTTGTGACTGCGTTGTAGACAGCATTGTTGCAACATTTTAATGTCCTTCATATGATGTTCCTGTAACATATTCATCTCAAAACTAAATCACGAGAATGAATTCATCATCAAATATAGCAATTGTAGTTACCAACATCGTCACCTGATTAGAGGGGATGTATTATCTGGTCAAGTACCTTAGGTACCTTAAGTACCTTATGTAGGTAAGCAGGTATTAAATTGCATGAAAAAAAAATTTATGGTGATAAGTTGCCTGGTTACAAGTAATATAATGCATGATTTCAGGTGATAAATTGTCAGTTTATAGTTTATAAATTAACTGATTATTGATGATACATCATCTCATTACAAGTGATATATGGCATTATTATCAACTGATTAGGTGTGATATGCTGCCAGATTATAGATGACGGTGATTAATTGCCTGATCATTAACCTATCGATATATGATCAATTACCCGATCATTTGCAATTTCATCGCAACAAGGCGCGAATGACCGGCAACTTGCAAGACTGCGAAGGAGTACAGAAGGAGTACAGAAGGAGTACAGGAGTACCGACTTGATGAGATCCTCGATGCCGATGTGACCGGCGCCGGGTCCCCGGACGGCGTAGGCGTGCCCCACCTCGAAGCGGGACGCGAGGGAGGACACCTCCATCATCCGCTCCAGCCACCTCTGGCTCAGCTCGTCCATCACGCCCTCGCAGCCGAATGCGATCACCACGTTGTCTGCGATTTCGGGCGTGAGAGGAATTTTTTTTTTCGACGTCCAGTAACTTTTCCACCAGTCGAATTTCAATTGCAATGGCTATTTAATGCCAGAAAATTTCTCACGATGTGTGCTTTTTTTTTGGTAAGAACGAATCCATCCTCAATTTTTTTTTCAAACGAGCAATTCCATGCAAAAAAAAACCTCGCAGAAAGGAACTCCGGGGTAGATTGCTTAATCGCTCCCAAGATAAGGGCGCCGGTGATGGTTACATAAGGGCGAAGAAAGTGATAGGAAAGTGATGGGAAAGCGGAAGAGAACTTTTGACCAGAATTGCTGGTTTTGTGCTGATCCTGATCAGAATCAGCGCAAAAATGTCATGCAGTTAATTTCCTTCGCAGAAAAATGATAAAGCGCCAATTCCGGCGTAATAATGACGACATCAGATTCACTCAAGTCAGCTAGCCCGAATGTAACATGTTAACAGCTGATTACATAGCTGATTAAATATCTGATTACATAGCTGATTAAATATCTGATTACATAGCTGATTAAATATCTGATTACATAGCTGATTACACATATAAAATTGCAAAACAAACGAGGAAAAATTCGTATCTTACCCCCAGTGGCGTAAAAACGATGGCTGACCCCTTCCCTGATCTGCTCCCACATGCCGACCGAGTCCGGAGCCTCCCCGGCGGCGGGGGCGAGGAGGAGAGGGCTGAGGAGGAGAGGGCCGAGGAGGAGAGGGCCGAGGAGGAGAGGGCCGAGGAGGAGAGGGCCGAGGAAGCGCAGCATCTTCAGCGGATCGCGTCGGAGCGAAAAGAACATCTTTATCTCGAGGCGAGACAGATCTCCTTTTTTTTTATTTATATAAATATATATATATATATTTTTTTTTCATTTCTCTCTCTCGCCGAGTGCTTCGGTTCTCACGGCTGGGGTCGACAGACACGTCGGATGGGAAAACCCGCGACGTCCCTCCTGCCTCCCGCGTCGATTTCTCTCGCCTTCTGTTCCATCTTTATCGCCGGCCGCTCTCCGAGGTGGAGGGCGCTATCGCGACTGTTTTCGCAATTTCTCCAAACGACGACAAACAGCAGCTATGAAACGACGACTGCAACAGTCGTCGTTTCATAGTCTGCAGCAATTATTGCCTCTCTCATTGCAATTATTCAATTCCTCATTTCAATTCCCCAACTTCTATCCGGTCGGCTTGACCTCCCCAAATATTCAACTTGAATCGATTCTCGTATGTTGAACTCTCCGCGGCTTGAAATAACTCGTGTCAATTTGAACTTGACAGGCGCTGGTCCAGCCAGCACCAATTCTGAAATTGGTTAATTTTCCACATTCATTTCGCATTCGAAGAGAAAAAAGTTTAAAGCCACATATCTAAAGCCTTGTGTTTTAAGTCATATGTTTTAATTTGCGAGGCGGCGATTCCATCCTTAATTGAAATCTCGTGCCTCTTCCCTCGGAAGAAAAGTTCTTCTCTCGAAAGTTTGTTTCCTCCTTCGGGGTCTGTTGTGAGGAAAACTCGACTTCAGTGCCTGTTTACGCTCTGGAGCGATTCCAGCAAGAAATAGAACAGTCCCAAGTGTTGACAATCCCGATTCTCGATTTCAGTCCTGATTCCAATCCCGATTCCAATCCCGATTCCAATCCCGTTTCCAATCCCGATTCCAATCCCGATTCCAATCCCGATTCCAATCCCGATTCCAATCCCGATTCCAATCCCGATTCCAGTCACAATTCCAATCCCAATTCCAATCCCGATTCTAATCCCAGTCCTGTAAATAGTCCTGAACAACTGCTGATTGAAGTTATATTTGCCCCAGATGATTCACAAAATTCGAAAGGAATATAGAAATTTGCCGTTTCCCGGAAATATGAACGAACATTGTATTTCATGCCGCTTTCCGTGTCGATTTCAGCGCATTTCACACTTTTTGCACTTGACTCAGTCCGCTTGGATATTGGCAATAAAATGCACGACACGATGACCGAAAGAATATACGAAAGTGGTGGATTTGCACTCGTTAGTTTTTGCACTCCTGTACACTTTCTGGTTCTCACCGCATAACAAGTGCAAAATGGAGTCAGGCAAGTGTTCAACTTATAATTTTCTAGCTCTCTCTCTCTGTTCTTTCCAACATCTTTAAGAAATCAAAAGTATCGTTTAATAAATATTTAGAAAATTATTTTTAATTATGAGCGCCGCACATCGGATGCCTGACGAACAAAGACACAAACTATGGTAAGTCATAACTCTACTAATAGTTTTTGAGTCACCTTTTTGGGGTTAAAAATAGGCTGCAATTCGGTTCGTGCCATTTATGTGCGATGAAGTCGAACCAAGGGAAAAAAAGAGCTTATTCATTGTTTCATGTTGCAAGCGCAAGATGATATGGGCGGAATCAAAGGACCATCAAAGGACCCTTCTTTAATTCAAGTTGAAAATTTTCCCCATGCAAATCGAGCTTTTCTGACGAGTTTCCGTCTGGGTTATGTCCCAAAACATTATGCTGAGATTGGGACTTGCGTCAGCTGTTCGCGCGCAAAGGAAATGTCACACTAAGGCACGTGCAATACATCTCCGGGCCAGAACAAAACGGGATCAATGAAACGTGCCTATGGTGCATCACATTTCCTCGAAAGAATGTGCAGCACGTCTCAAGGCGACACGTGCCACGCTCACGAACCGCCAAGGCCGGACTCAAGCATGATGTTTTGCTTTTGATGAACCCAAGCATGATGTCTTCCTTTTGATGAACCCAAGCATGATGTTTTGCCTTGCCTTGGGGTTCGGATCCCGTCTTTCCTCGTGCCGTCCTACTTCTCATGCCAGTAATCGCCCTCCTTTCCGAAGGAATCAGGTTAAACACACACACATGGCGGCTTCTCGGGAAGGCTTTCCTCAATGTAAAAAGTACTGATGTATTCGCTAATCTGACTCCTATGAAAACCGACTACAGTTGAGTCTTACGCGAATGCAATTGTGACTACCGTAATCAAATTCGCGAGGCTGCCCGTACTTTCGGTGCCTTTTGCGCTCGATCATTCTACAATGGTGGTTATTGCTGCATACGCAAATGTTACACAGCCCACGCCAAAATGACTCCTCTGTGAACAAATCTATTTTAGCGAATTTTATTTAGTTGACTTTAATGACGTTGTTGCAGTTTTCCAATTGCGATCACATTGGAGAATGACGTCTTCGCATTTTGTTTCCTCCCACTTTCGATCTGGAGGCTGGAATCGCATGGGTCATCATTAGGACGACGTCGTCTCTCAGGGCGACACCTTGCTCATCTTTCATCGTCCTCGCACATTTCAGGCCAACACTTCGAATTACTGCCGAGGACTTCACATAGTCGTGTTCTTCGCAAAATGAGGGTATTCCCCATGGCGGAGGTAAGTCGCGATCGATACGTAGATAAGGTCAGCCATCTCAACACAAACGTATTTAATTTTTTGCTGGGTTAGTGGTAATCTCCCAACCAGACCTAGGAGGCATTACCGTAAAAGATATCGTGCTATGAACTAATAGCCCATTGCAAACACTCAGGGTCTCAGCTCACAGCAGTCACTTTTGCGGAACAATAGTGGGTCCTGCGTACGCGGGTTTTACTATGGTTGTAAGTCGCGTAAGCCATTTTCACTATGATAGAAACTTGCTACAGGGTAGCAAGTTTCGCGTCCTACACTGGCAGCTGTTTCATTCCGTGGGCGACGGAGCGGAGTAGCCAAAAAAAATGCCATCGACCCATGAAAAGGGGAGTGGGAGTCGAGAGGGGACGAAGTGAATGGGATAGCAAATCCTTATTGCGCATGCAATGGAGACCCTGCGAGGAGCAGCCTTCGTGCTCTCCAGTCCTTCCCTCCTTATTCCGCGTCCAGCCTTCCCTCGGAGAGCATTCGTCTGGCGCTCCTCGACGTCGTGAGTCCTCGCCATCGTCCTTGCACTTGCCTCGTGCAAGTGGCGCTGATGCCATCCGCTTTCCACAGGCTAATGGTACTGCCTACTTCCATTGTGTCCATGCGGTAATGTGCATGATCATAAACTCTCTATAAGGAATCATTTCCGATCAATTTCCCCCCAATTCTACTCATTTACTCCGCATCGCTGTGAATGTCACAAGCTGCATATTTAAGATATTGCTGATCATGATGAAAAGATTATCAGCCACAGTAAATATACGCGAAATATAACAAGCTAAGAAAATTACGCTAAACTTCATTCAGTTTCAAATGAAATGGTGTATTCCAGTTGGGTATTTTCCAGGGGCTTAGACGTCTCAAAACTCTGCTTAATATCTCAATTTTTTTTCCAAGTTCAACCGGGAACAATGAAACCCTAATCTCCTTGTCATAATAGCAGCGGTATTTTGAATTTCTTTCATTTCTCATTATGATCACTGAGTTCCTTGAATCTCCACGACGAAGGTTGGCAGCCAATGGTGCATAGTAGTATGATAGGAAAATACGCATAATTTCTAAAGTTTTTGTCGTCTATTCAGAAGCAATCTGAGGCACTTATGCCCCTTTCTTGCATAACGCAGGCGATATATATATGAAAATAGCTGCAAATTATTTCGATACATATCGAAATATCGATATATATTTCGATATATATACTTCGAAATAGTGTAGTGAAACCTAATTACTTGAAGTCTCTCCCGCAACATAGATTGCGAGCGATGAATCTTTTTTCTTTTAGCAATATGATATCAATTTTAATTTAGTCGAATGAATAAACTAAACTAATAAATAAAAGAAACTTTAATATAACTTTATTTAAATAAGAATTTCGTATCATGCGAGCATGACGTTAGGCGATTGGCTGCATTTCAGCCTCAATGAGTGAGCTGATCAAAATAAGAGAGAGAATGCGATTACAGGTTCGGCGGGAATCCCAAGGTTTTTTTTTTTTTCCTTTCTGATGAATGCGGGAAAAGATCGATGCCGTCTCGCCAGGCTTCCCACGCGTTTCGCGGTCCGCTGGGACCGAATAGCGTTAATCAGGTTATTTCGGATTCTCCTGAATGCACTTAAGGGCATCTCGAGGGGCTTATCACGGGGAATCCACCTCGTTGAGCCAAAAATGAATTCGCCTATTAATTCCCGAATTCCGAGAAGCAAAAACCGGTTGCTTTTCCTCAGACGACTGAGTTCCTCTTGTCGATCGAAGTCGCAATTGCAGCTAATCGTTCCATTCCGAAATGAAAATTACTTTCAAGGGTCTCCGAGAGACAATGCACTTTTGGTTGAGCGGGCCACGAGCTTCGAGCAATCTCGTTTTTCCCCCGAGTCCCCCAAAGTTTTATAGTTCTGTGTCTCGATCATTTCACGGTGAACTGCTCCCGTCAGGGAAAGATGAACAGGGAGAATTGAGCTCGAAAAGGCGGAAGAGATGCGATAGGAGTCTCCTTTTGTTTTGCGAATTTTTGCTGACTTTCCCAGACGACGAGGATTTGGAAGCGTGACGTTGTTAGCCGTTTACTTGGATGCCGTCACTTATTGCAGACATATTGAAATATTCAGGGGGTTGGAGGTAAGCTATTACTAGATTAATGCTAAAAAGTTATATTTAGCATTCCTTGTCCAAGCCCCTATTTACTTCCACTCGGTTGCCTCGCAAGGGGAATTTCGGGAAGGGGGGAGAAGGGGATAGAGTGGGGTGGGAGGGGGGGAGGGGGCAAGCGGGGGAAAAGGGGTCAAATGGGTTAGGGGGAAAAAAGGGGAAAGGGCAAACGCTCTGAGCAAATTCGATGCAATCTGGTCCCACTCCTCAGTCAATTTGACACTTCCAGTTAATCGAATTTCGTTTATCCCTTGCCAAGTTGAAGGCAGGCTAATTTTTCAGGAAGATTTAGACATTATAAAACCCCGTGCATTTTCCCACTTCAAAGAGAAATATAATATTCTCTATCATGTACACATCACAACCGTAAAATTGGATTGGAGACGTTGACGTTATGATGTTGATTTTCCGAGAACTCCTACCTTAATTTTCGAGAAAAAAAGAAAAAGGTTAATCCGTGTGAAAGGCAATGAAATTGTGCTGCTTTTGGATTAGCTTTAACCCTTAAAAAGGGCGCATGTATGGAATTGTTGGCTGGAAGCTTCAGAGTAAACTTCGGTCTTGGAGTTTAAGTTTTTTGCGTGTTGGGTTTCGGGCAGAATTTTTCTGCCCGATTCATTAAATTAGGTTTGTGTCAATCGAGACACACTTTCCAAGGTCATTGACCCATGCCGGTGACCTTGGAAATCCGTATCCAGCTGGTCGTCGCATCCAGCCCCTTATCGCGCCCAACCCGCTCTCACTCACAGCTTGCGTCCTACACCGTCAGCTGTTTCATTCAGTGAAGGCTCGGAATGGAGCAGCCAAAAAAAGTCAAGGTTACCATCGACCCATGAATGGGAGTGGGAGTCGAGAGGGGGCGAAGTGAATGGGATAGCAAATCCATATTTCGCATGCAAGGGAGACCCTGCGAAGAGCAGCCTTCGTGCTCTCCACTCCTTCCCTCCTTATTCCTCGTCCAGCCTTCCCTCGGAGAGCATTCGCCTGGCGCTCCTCGACGTCGTCAGTCCTCGCCATCGTCCTTGCACTTGCCTCCTGCAAGTGGCGCTGATGCCATCCGCTTTCCACAGGATAATGGTACTGCCTACTTCCATTGTGTCCATGCGGTAATGTGCATGCTCGCAAACTCTCAATAAGGTATCATTTCCAAACTTTTTACTATTATCCAGCTCTACTTATTTGTCGCTGTGAATATGTCACAAGCTGCATGTTTCCGATGTAACTGATGAGGAAACAATTTTCAGCCAGTTAGTAGACGCGATATATAGCGTGCTAAGTGAAACTTCATTGAGTCACAGACAAAGAAGATGATTACAGAAAGGAATTGCGAGGGTTTTTCCTTTCAGGCGAATACAGGGAAAGATTGATGCAGCCTTTCCAGGCCTTTCCAGGCCTTTCATGCGTTTCGCGGTTCGCTGAGACCGAATACCGTCAATCGTGTTAACTCGGATGTTCCACAATACGCATTAAGGGGCATTTCGAAGGGCTTATCAAGGGAAATCTGTCTCGTTGAGCATGATGTGAAGCAAGATTCGCATTTTTGACTACAGAATTTCCAGGAGCAAAAACTGGCCGCCTTTTCCTCAGACAGCTGTGTCCCTCTTGTCGATGGAGGTCCCAATCGCAGATAATCGCAGATAATCGCAGAAAGAAGGGAAAATGTACGAACACGTGACATTTGCATCGAACGGACCGAGTCCACCCGAGATCGGACGGACCGAGTCCACCCGAGGGATTTGATCGGTCTGCGAGAGAGAGAATGCGCTTCCGGTTGAACGGTCCACGAGTTTCGAGAAATCTCGTTTTTATCTCGTTTTTTCATTTTCGAGTCCTATGAGGCTTTATCTCGCTCACTTCACGGTGAAGTACTCCCGAATGGAAAAGATGAACAAGAAGGATTGAGCTCGAAAAGGCGGAAGAGACGCGATTGGAGCCTCCTTTTGTACTTCGCGAATTTTTTGCAGACTTTTTTGCAGAGGACGAGGGCTTTGAAGCGTGACGTTTTTAGAAGCTTATTTGGACGCTGTGACATTTTGCTGCGATTTTGAAGTATTTCGGGGTTGGATGCAAGCCATCGAAAGATTAATATCAAAAAGTTATATTTCATATCCTTTGTCTTAGCTTCCACTTGCTTGGTTGTATCGCAAGGGGGAACTTCGGGAAGGGGAAAGAAGGGTATAGAGGGGGAGGGGGCTAGGACGAAAAGGGGCAATTGGGGTAGAGGGGAAAGAGGAGGGGGGAAAGGGGGAAAGGGGGGAAGGGCAATGTGCCCTGAGCAAATTCGATGCAATTTGGCCCATATCCAAAGTCTATATGACGCTTCGTGTCCATCTACTTTCATTTATCTCTTGTCACGTTGAAGGCAGACTTATATTTCGGGTTGGTTGTGATAAAATATAAATCCATGATAAAATCCTGTGGATTTTCCTGCCTCGAAGAGGAATTTAATATCCTCTACAGACGATTATATCCGGGCTGGCGGTCATTGCATTCCGATGCTTCATCTTGAAAATCTCTTCCTTCGGGAGGCGTCTCTTTTGTCGGGTTCGCATTCCTTCGGATCGTTGCCGAAGTTTAGGGGATATCATGCGCGCTTCACAAACCTAAAATTGGAATGGAGGCGATGACGTCATGGTGATGTTTTCCCAAAAACGCCTGCGTTAATTTTCGAAAAAAAAGAAGGATGAAGTTTTTCTACCTGAATTACCTGTGCGAAAGACGATGAAATTATGCTTTTTTTTTAAATCATCTATAAAGCTTTAAAAAGGTCGCATGTACGGGATTGCCGGCTGGAAGTTCCAGAGTAAACTTCGGTAAAGTGATTACGTTTTTGTCGGTCGGGTCTCCGGGCAGAATTTTGTTCCCTAATTTATTATATTAGGTTTGTGTCGATCGAGACAGACTCTCCAAGGTCACCAGCACATCCCGGTGACCTTGGAAAACCCGTCTGGAAAGGCAAGCTCGACCTCGCATCCAGTTCCTCATCATGCCCAATCCCTCTCACTCCCAGCTCGACCTCGCATCCAGCCCCTTATCATGCCCAATCCCTCTCACTCCCAGCTTGTCCTTGCATCCAGCCCCTTATCATGCCCAATCCCTCTCACTCCCAGCTCGACCTCGCATCCAGCCCCTTATCATGCCCAATCCCTCTCACTCCCAGCTCGACCTCGCATCCAGTCCCCCATCACAGCACCGTACACTGCTTCTAAAGGTGATTATTCCTCGATGATCACCTTCGCCGGTTCGTCTCCGGACGCAGTCATGAGCCTCAACCGAATCGGACGTCATCCATGCGACATATCGAACGATCGGGGATTCCAGAGCACGCCGTGGGGAACAATTCAAGCCGGACACCATAGTCGAATGACCGTTTCGACGAAGAAAAGGGCCCCCACGAGAGCGTGGAAATCGGAAAATTTCGCCTCTGTCCCATTTTTTTCATTATCCAGATCGGATTTCGCGGAAATGACGAATCCTTCCGCACGACTCAAGACGGGAGCAACAACGATGCAGCGATCTGATTTTCCGATTCTTTTTTCGTCACATCTCAATCAATTATGATAAATTAAGTATTCTTAAAATTTTCCGGAGAAACAGGCTGTTCTTTTCTTCGCGCATCGTGGAGACCTGACATTTCGTCAACGATGCTAGTTTCTCTTGTTATTCAATATTATAAATATATTTTTTTGATCTATAAAATGCAACTTCTCCCCATTGCCCGCCACGAACGTCCCACAAACGCCGCACGTGCCGCCCCAGAACGTCCCGCCCCCGGCACGTGTTCCCCGTCGGAGCAGGTGAATCGCCAACACCTGGCCTCACTTATCGCCCCGCGACACGTGAATCCCCGATCACGTGCCTTCATTCAGATATGTCCCCGCACATTCACTCCAGATGAGATGAGGTGAGACCGGGTGAGATCGCGTTGCTTATATTTGGTCCCTATATATACAGCAAGACATTCGCATGAAAATTCGGGAGGAATTCTAATTAGCATAAAAATATGGCGATATGTGAATTTAATAATGCTGTGAAGAAAAAAAAACTCGAAGGCTTTCCCCTTTCTTCATTCACCCCCGTTATCAATTAAAATAATCATTTTTAATGGGTTCTCCATCGTTTCTCCCGGAAATTAATGCACGATTGACCATAAGTATCGTAATTTATTAATGCATGATCCATCGCTGGAATTGCAACGCTAATGCTGAATGAGAAAGTTGAATGAGAAAGAAAGAAAAGAAATTTAATTGTCGCAAGATGAAGACTTGGAAGGAAAACGTGCTCAGGGAATGGGATTTTCCCCTCATTCCTTCTTCCCTCCAGTCATTTGGAAAGCGTGCTATTTTTTTTTCCTTTTGACATCAAAAACCATGGCGTGGTTGACGATTGCGCCGACTCGCCTGAAGGTTTCATTTGAGTACTCAGCGTGCATCTGTACGATGCACTGCTCTGTACGATGTATGCTCGTGCGATGCAGCATTGACTCCCATGATTTTCGTATTTTCTGCTCTCAAAAGAAGGAGAAAGATTCATCACGATTTGTAAGTCTCTCTTTTCAAATCGGGAAATCCTCAAGAATCCTATATAATTTTATATTTTCTAGTGTTGGTACATGTGGATGTACCTCAGCAATAGCCATGGAGGCGTCGTTCAACGCGGGAACTCTGTCCTTATATGCAAACTTTCTAGTCCTGGTCCTCGAAAGCGAACTTTACCCTTACACTGCGGAATTCCCTCGAAAAACGGTTTTTATTTTGCCACTACCTTCAAACTCATCGCAATACGTTTTCCTTCGATCTCTTCAGACTCGAAGTCACGCCCGCGAAATGGCACGACTCGTTCTCGCAAAAACGAGCCTGATGAACGCAACGAAAGTGCCTTGCACATTTCTTCGCATTCTTTGCTCGTTTTCGGCGCAGACTGCTAGCATCCATCCATCTCCTGGGGTAAATGATACATAATGAACTACCTTCCGGGCCCACCGGCTCAGATTGGACTCCGCGTAATCTCATTCCGACCCATGAGGCAGAATACGTAAACAATTGCAGGAAAATTACATTTTTTTACACCTGGAATTCCTGGAATTTTTCAGAATCAACTCCGACTGTATCCGTAGTACGTCTTCAGCCAATATCTCTTGCATTCTGTCAGCGTTTGCCAAAGTGGAATTTTAACTTTACTAATTTACTTCTTTAAGTTAGGCGCAATCCCCATAACCTTATCTATTTAAAAGTTTCCACTGCTTTTCGCCTATCAAAAACCACAATGGGATTTTTGGCCATCAAAAATCATAATGGGAATTGTGGGCTGGTACAACATGCAATCCAATTCTTTAAGGGTCTCTCAATCATGCCATGCGACCTGCCTGTTGTTATTTGCGGTCTTGCAGTTTCGCTGCGTTTCGACGATGCACCACTCTCGATCGATTGACGGGGAAAAACAATAGATTTCCTTGTCCTTTATCATTCCTTTGAGGTTTCGCCTCGATCGGCAAACGACGAAAGAAAAATAGGGAAAAAATAATAGAGATGGATCTTCATTCATGTTCATCACCAGTTTCGAGAATCAATCAGAATTTCAATATGCATATGCGAAAACACAGATGGCGGGTTCGCAAATGCAAGGTCATGCAAGGTCATGCGAGGTCATGCGAGAGCACGTGATAAGGAAATATGGAAATTATTATATTTATTTCCTCATTCCGGGATCCTAGACCCTAGTAGCACATAGCATTGAAACAATCTTCATTGCTGATTCAACATCCGGATGTTGTTTCATTTTGAGTCAAGGTTGATTCAACATCCGGATGTTGTTTCATTTTGAATCAATATTGATTCAGTGTTATGAGCTACTAGGAAGAATGGCATGAGAAGAGAGAAGAAGATTCTTTCTCTTCCGAGCAACCAGTTTCCTCCCTCAAATTTTTTTTTTACAAATAATTATTTATTGCTTCAAAATATCCAGAATCGAACCGGAATAGCATCGAAGATGTTATAACGAATTAGTTATGAAGGCGTTCCTACTGAATCCCATGACTCGGCCACCTCGTGGTCAAGTGGCACGTGGTCAAGTGCCCCCCACAAAGGGCAGAGAGAGAAACGATTGAAGGAAAATTTTGCAGCCGGATGATCGGGCTCGTTGTCCGGTGCTTGACTCTTCCTCCCTCGAATGGAAAATTGTTGTTCATCGAGCACGAAAATTATTGGTCATCGAGCACGAAAATTGTTGTTCATCGAGCACGAAACTTCCCGTTCCTCATTAAATGCGATATGCGAGGAATTCCTATTGCACTTGCAATTGCCCAGCGTTTACATACAGCTAAGACGATTGCATGATGAACCCCATTTCTCTCTCACAGACTCATTATTCAACACGATCGTTCGTGCACACCCACGTTAAACGATGAATGGGTGATGATGAAATCGTGACAGTCACCCGACACCAGAGCCTTCATCGTGGAAAGCTCGCTTCGCATCCCCACTCAATAAAGGAAAGTGACCCGCCCACAATCAATGAAGGAATCTCGCGATCCCTCCAGCAAACAACCAATTCCCCAGCCTCGCTTGAACACCCAAGAAGCCGGGGATCCATCCATCCACCAAGCCCATCCATCCACCATCCACCAAGTCCATCCATCCACCGCCAGGCTGAAGGCGTATCGACCCTTTTGTTTTCTTCCACGTGGAATTTAATACCTGCGAAATAAGATCTGAGAAGATCGGATTTTGATTGCCTTTCTATCTTTGGCTTCTGTTTTCCAAAGGCCTCCAGGGGTTTCCCCACTGATTTCTCGGCTATATCAAGTCCACGCTCCACTCGACTGATCGACTTCAAACGATTTTCTTAATGGATTGCGGGGGAACGCCCAGACGGCAAGACCTCGATTGCCTCGTGCCAGAGGACCAATATTATATTTAGCCTTTTGATTATTTTTAGAATTTCGCCCGACGATATGCACGAACAGCTGGACTCCCTATAATTGAATTCCACTCCAGACACGAACGATATTTATTGCTCCCTTTCAGCCCCGTATTTGTCTTCCTTTCCTCGCCCAGAATGGAAAGTGGGGAAAGAAGAGCATCGATCCTCCCCTCTTCGGTTCCTTTTCCCTTTGTCCGCGTGGGAACTGAAGGCGGCTCGATACGAAGGCGGCTCAATGCGAGCCGCATTTCCGTATGATTCGCCATGACTCTGCGGAAAATATATGGATTTATATTAAAAGCACGTCTTATCCGGCGCAATAGCATGTCGGATGTTGCGATCGAGTTGACACAGACCGGAGTATAAATTGAACTCATTCAATAATGAGACATAATGCATGATTGGATACTTGAATTAATAACAACCGTTATTAATTTGACTCGTGATGCAATATTAAATAAATTGATACCTGTCCTTTCATGTCCTCGATTGCATGAATGCCGCAATCCAACGGCGGAAAAATGTTGGCAGCCTTATTAGCAGCAGCGGAAGAAGTTCTCAACGAGAGAGAAGAAAAATTAAATGAAGCTTCTTGAAGTAATCGCCTATCTGTGCGTTTGTCTCCGCGTCCAAGTTCTTATCGACATTAGTGGAAGCACTGTGACTTTGACGCAATGTGACCCCAAATACATCAATTCATCTACGACGTTAACAAATTAGTCGCCCCCCGTCCCCCCCCGTGGCAAGCTTAATTGCATAATTAATTAGTTTCATGCGTGCAGACTCTGAGGCTGACTCCCGCCTTCTTCGGGGTCGACTTCATCTCGTCAATATTCGCGGCTGGAAGGAGGGACGCGAATGGCGATCCTCCGCGATCCCGGATCGCGAATCTTCGCCGACCGCGCGCGAACGCATATCAGGCGAGATTCGGAATTTTCAGCAACTTGGAAATCCCGACATTTCTGCAGTCGGCTCGAATCATCCCCCTTCTCCCCTTCATTCCTTTCGGAACTCCATTGTTTCAAGCTTCCAGGGAAAGCTCAATTTCAGGCGGCCTCTTTCAAAGAGATCGCGGGTAATACGGACTTTAAGCCTTTAAGGGCTTCATTAATATTGAAAGGCCCCTTGACATTTATATCAAACGACTGTTTAAAGAGTCTTTATTTACATGGAAAGCATTCCTCTTAATGCGAGGTTATTTATTCGTATTTCGTCAGGTTATTTATTCGTATTCGATTTATGATTCAGAAGTAGGAGCAACTCACGTGAAGGGGAAAAAATTGGAAATTAATTTTGCATGAAGCAAATGAAGCATTCCGAAATCTCCGAAGATCTTCTCAAGAAGTGAGCTAAGGATGAGGTCAAGAAATGCACGATTCTATGGATTATGACTGGAATCCTCCTGATTTTTTAGTTATTCTTTAAATAATAGAAAAAGAAGTTGAAGTGGAGGTAATTGTTGCATGGAATAGCTGCGATACGGTAACCCGCGACAATAAATTAAAATTCGTACTCGTTCTTTGTCTGGAATAAATGCAGGGAAAAAAATTACCCTTTTTTGAAAGGACTCAGTCTCAATGGGGGAGCATTACTCACCTGGGTAAAACGGAGAGAGGCGGTTAAGAGATACATGAAGCTCAATTCATGTCTAGAAGAGTGAAGGGAGCAGCAATGTGACGACAAAACAGGACAAACACTATCAGAATGGGAGGAAGATGCATCCATCAACGTTCATTGGCGTGATCTCCTTCTCACAGATAACGTGCAGCCAAAGATGGTAGAGCAGAACTGGAGGAAGAACGGATCGTGGGAGAGAATGGCGGGGATGCCGCTGCAGATCCTCAATCGAACCGAGGCGCATTGGTTCCTTTACCCGCCTCCATCCAGCTCTGCCCACGCGGTGGTCACCGTCTTCTACGTGCTCATCTTCCTCTTGGGCACCGGCGGCAACGGCGCCGTCCTCTACCTCACCATCAGGTACGATTTCATAATTTCTTCAAAATGGAAATAGAACATTTTGTCTGAACATTTCGTTCCTGTCCAAGCAAAAACTTGAAGTTAATAAAATATTCAATACAATGCTCATGCGTCTTTTTAATGTACAACCAAGACAGATTTCCGGTACCAGTGCTGCTTATCTACCAATAGAAGGCCGTAACTAAGGAAATCCCCAACGTCTATAACTTTGATGCTGGTCATGTTCAGATTACGAAACTGGAGTTCAGTCAAGAATGAGACGATTTACGATCCTCTGAGATCCTCATATCGCACGGAATATCAGTTTTACGTCCTAAATTGCCTATTATGTATGCCATCGTTTAATATGGCATCCATTTGATTGTAACCGTGGTAATTAAGCGAAACTAACAGAAGACATTCTAATTCATCAATTTCATACGAAGATTGCTTCTGGTTCTATGTTGACTCTTACTTTCCTTGTAATTACTTCCAGATAATTAGGTTTTTCTGCCTATTGCAAAGGAGAACGACGATACCATTACTCATTTATCTGCGAAAATGAATTATTTCACCACCATTCCAGAATCAATTAAGAGTCATTGAATTAAGGTTTGCGTAATTACCCCCTTTCAGCGATGAGATTTCCGCTGCCACGAAAGACGAGTTTCATTCCAAAACGAGAGGAGGGTGAATTCTTCTCTGCTCGCTGATTCCCGCAGGACCCCGCATCCCCCACGGGAATCCAAGCCCGTGCCTGTCATCCAACAATTCCGCGGAACTGGCGGGATTTTTCCTGCGAATGATGAATTCCTCCTCCGTCTCCTTTCACCTTTCGAACTCGACAAGAAAAAAGGCCGAGAGCCAGATCGATGAGAATGGGAAATCAGAATCTCTTTTCAAAGAACGCGTCCCTGAGTAAATCAGTGGAGAATATATATTTTAGAAATACGAAAGGAAAATAGGTGTAGAGTTCTGGAATAATTAAAAATTCAAATTTTTGCTGTTGCCGTGGTAATAGCACTGGTAGAAAAGTTCATTGCGCGCCGCCAGCACAATAAATCCAACTAAACCGGCAGAGTCCCTCTAAAAGACATGAAATCCTGCTGGCATCGACACGATAGTGAAAAAAAAATAAATTCGGGCAGGCCAAGTCCTCATGGCTCGAGCTGGGTCTCTTCCTTCCTAGGTTCAAGAACCTGTCGAAGAAGACGAACTCCTTCATGCTGAACCTGGCCGTGAGCGACTTCCTCATGATGTTCACCATCCCCATCATCGTCGTCAATTCTTTTCACGAGGGTCCAGTCCTCGGGATTCCAGGTGAGTCGATTTCTCAACGAAAAATGCGGAATGCGCAATTATTGAATTTTTCCGCCCTTGGGGGGGAATTTCTGCATTTTCGCCCTTTCGTGAGACCGGCAATGGCTTCCCTCCAGCGCCCTCGCGTTAATGACGCATATATCCAAGATGAGAAAGAGTCAGGAGAGAAGAAGAAACAATCTGAGGAGGGATCCCTTACGAAAATGTCTTATAGGATTCCTATAAGGAATCCTATAGGATCCTATATGCCCTATAGAGTTCAGTTTGGGACCTATAGAGTCCCCTATAGAACCTATAGAGTCCCCTATTGAACCTATTGAATTCCCTATAGAACCTATAGGGTTCCTCATGGAACCAATAGGGTTTTATAGGAAAGTCTATAGGTTTCCTATAAGAAATAACTATAGGTTTCCTATAGGACATTTCCGTAAGGGATTTCCCGCAAAATGAGGGAAGCTCCTGGGCTCGTCCCAGAACAATCGAGTTTTCTCCTGGCAAGAGCCCAACTAACAATGGCCTTTCGCTCGTTTTCCTTTCCTTTTCCTTCGGGCTTCAGCACCGACCGAGTAGCTTTAGATTGCGGCGATCACGTCCGCGAGGTTCCGCGAAGTACCTCGGGCCCATTACCGGCTCGTGGCGATGTTGAGGCCAAGGTGCTCCTAGGGGAAATGCCCGAGGAAAATGTCCTGCTTCGTGAAAGCAAAGGATCTCCCAGGAATACTCACGTAAGCACTTGGAAATCCTTGCATTTTTTTTAATGGAATACGGCGAATTTTTCCTGTATGGAGCAGGATGGAATGACGCTGATTTCTCCTCTAGGCGCTAAAAATCCGTTTCCACCTGGCGTAGAGAGAGCTGAATTATTCAAAAATCTTGCGTTGACTATATGGAAATGCACTTTCCATTGAAACGTTGTTGAGAGTAAGATATAGTTGACCAACGCAGACGAGGATAAGCACGAGAGAGGCATAACGGAGATGAGAAAGGCAAAAGGGAGATGAGAAAGGCTTGCTCCCTCAGGGTCGGATACAGTATATGCCAGTATTGATTAGGTAGCGAGATGGAGATGAAATCGCAAGAATCATGCGTGGCATTGCATCACCCCTGGATCATGGAGGGATTCCTGGCGATCGTTAATCAATACCCCTGAGGATGGGATTTCCGGGATTAGGGATTGATTACCGACCCTGCGCAGACGGGTTCGATCTTGCCGACGCCTTGGGCTCGGGCACGATCTGGCACGATCTGGCACGATCTGGCATGAAGTTCATTCGGAAAGTGGCCAAAGTCTTTTCGGGGAATGTCTCGAAAGAGACGGAAGGAACCGCGTCGAAGATTCCCTTTTCTTCCACTTTTTCGGATTGGCCATCTGGGCGGAATGGAGTCGGAGGAAGACAGAGCGAACTTTTTACATTTTTGGCAAGCAGATTTGAGTTAGCAAAAAAAAAAAATCGAATTCCTTCCGAGAAGCGACGGCACGGCAATGGGCACCGAAAGCGCCATTTTCTTCCTTTCCACCATGGAACCCGAACTTCGCTCGCGAAGCCTCGAGAATTCCTTTTAGAAAGCCAATGGGAACTGCATCGAGCGAGCCACCATAAAAAGCCGAACGCCTTGTGCGTCTGCAACAAAACGATCAACCTTGTTTCCAAGAGAGATGAGAATCCATCCAATGTCCATTTCTAAGCCAATCGCCTTTTTCCCCGTCAATTGCCCTTTTCCTCCAGTTAATTCCCCTTTTCACCTCTAATAAATCGCCTTTTTACTCAAGTCAATAAAAAATAACTTCTCCAAAGACCGCCCATTTTGCGAAAGTCTGCGCAAGCAAAAGCGAAAGTGCAAGTGCAAAGTCAGCACCCAGTCCGACAGATGCGAACGATTTTCTTTTCCCACGCGATCATCGCCTTCCACCGCCTCGCTCTCGCTGCTCGGAATCCTTCAGTGTGGCATGCTGTCTCCATCGAACGGAGACAACCATCTATCGCAGTGCTGGTATTTCACTCTGAGGCTGCATTTCATTAGCATGCATGTCAGCAGTGTGCATGTCAGCAGTGTGCATGTCAGCAGTGTGCATGTCAGCAGTGTGCATGTCAGCATGCATGTCAGCAGTGTGCATGTCAGCATGCATGTCAGCAGTGTGCATGTCAGCATGCATGTCAGCAGTGTGCATGTTAGCATGTCAACAGTATGCATGTCAGCACTCCGACGTGATGGAAAAGGCGTTGCATCGATTTCGCGCTTCCCCGACGGACGGCACGCCCCAATCCCATCAGTCCAGAATCCATCTGGTTCGCAGACGGGAGATCCGAGATAATCTCCTTCCCGTAGATTCCCATCACAAGTCCAAGGCTTAAATGGATCAGGCGCATGTCACAGCCTGTCCGCTTGACAGGAATTTTTTACCGGGAGGATTTCAAGGACAAATCATCTTAGCGGGTGGCAAAGACATTCGCTACATCCCCCAAGAAGGGAGGCACTTCCTCAAATTTTCTCATTTTTTCTCACCTCTCCTTCCCTTCCTGAAAATTCCTGAAATGAAATTGAAAAATTATTCGCTCACTCGGCGCATGTCTTTTTTTCCCAGCGCCCCATGACGTCATGCTGGGGTTGAGCCGCTCAGCTCGAAGTTCGCTCTGCTGGCTGCTGCTTGCCAAACAGTGACGTCATTAAATGACGTCACTGTTGAGATAAGCGGTGACGGATATGGGGGTCTCTCTTGGCAGCGGCCGGAATAGGAAAAAAGGACCCATTGTGTTCATTCTGGCTTGAAGGCAGGCGGGTCCACTACCCCAAAGCCGTAACGTCGTATCTGTCTTCCGTAATGATCCGCTGCCATCTCTATCCACTCCAGTGTATTTTTCTTCCTCGAGTGCTTCCTTCTCGATCGATCGACCTCTCCGCCTTGACTCCGCCTTGCCTTCGCCTTGCCTTCGCCTTGACTCCGCCTTGATTCCGCCTTGATTCCTTACTTCCTTTATGCTCTCTTTCTGCGTCGCCGCCAGAGCGCCACAGAGCGTGCTTTCTCCCACACGTTTAATAGGATATTTATAATCGAAGAGAAATTGAAGTACGGCTTTCCTTCCTGTCAAAAAGGCCTTCCTGGAAGAATTTATCGCAAAATCGCTGGGATATGACAAGCAATACCCCGATTTCACAGACGAATTCCTCTTCTTTCTGTCAATCCCTCTCGCAACTTCGTTCAAATCGACTGACAGATTTTGCCAGGCTAGACCGCCGGGAAAGAATTTCGGAACTGCGGTTGAAAGAAAGTAAGAAGCGCGTGGGACTACGCGCGCCGTCCCACGCGATTCTTACTCGAAGACGCGAGGCCCAGAAATGCACCCCGTTCCTCCCATCCGCTCTTTCCTCGGGGAGATCGGGGAAATATGTTTTCCCTCTTTCTCTCAGCCCTTCGTTTCTTGGCACCTTCTCATGCGATCCATTTTTTTTTTTACGTATCTGCTGGTTTTTTCTTTTTGCCAGGCTAGTGTCGTAATATTTCTCCAGAAGATGGATGAGGCGAAAACAACGAAAAAATGACGAAGCTACTCCGCCCAGAAACAAATAGAGTCATGAACAAACGAACATACGAGAGAGTCACGTGACCCACGAAGCAAGACAAACGGCATCGCGAACGATCAAGTGCGATGCCCTCGATGGGATCTCGCACGTCCCATTGTGAGCCTCGCCAACTGCCTCATTAACATTAGCAATGATACATGCATGGCTTCAGATGACCCTCAACACTACAATGTCATCCAGCAGCAGAAATAATATTTTTTCACAGTTGCATCTATAATTGACACAATTGACGCAATCGTCCGCAGAAGGCGAGGGACGCCGAATCAGGCCTGTGCGACCCCGTCACCAACGGCCTCAAAGGCGAGCGATAGTGGTGACTCGAATGAATTCAAGGCCATTGGCGAAGAGGTTCTGGCTTTTGAGAGCAACACAGTCGGCGGGGGATGGAGACCGGGTCTGCGTGAGCACCGTGCAGGTGCTCTGCGTGTCACATGCAGGAGATATGAAAATATTAATTAAAAAGTCGCCTGTTCCAATCAGCCTAGGAAACCCGAGGGCTGCCTCAATACCATCCCCATCGGTCTTGCCTTGCCTCAAGACCGTGCAGGAGCGCCCTTGCCCGAGAGACCGATACCACTCGTTGACAACGGGAAGCAGGCAACCCCCCCTCCCCTTCCCCCGCCCCCCCCCCCCCTCCCCCTCCCCCCCGTGAATGAAAAACGCAGTTGTATGTTTTATGCATGCTCCCTTAAAAGAGAAAGAACAATGAGGGCATTCACACTGGCACCCTCACGCTGCCTTCTGCCTATCGCCCACTCTCATCTCTCTCTCAAATGATACTTTCATCCTCTTCCCATCATACGACTGAAAATGTGGAAATAGAGGCACGTTCAAAGGCGAATTATACAGGAAGGCCAAGAAAATACCTTCCGTCCGCGTCTCCCGATGCACCAAGGGAAGCTAAGGGTCCAACGAGACACCTTACAAGCAGCTCACGGACCTTCGTGGGCTCCCCATCCCAAAATCCCGTCGGTCCGTTTTGCATCAAATCGATGCGGCCAGGGAATTCTGGGGGGAAATGCATCCAACGGGACCCGTCATGTCTCCTGTGGGGATCTATAGAGCCTGGGAAAGACAAATAGAATTCTCAATATACGAGACTCGTGTGCGTCAATGCATCTTCTAGGAACCCTGAAGATAAAACAATAAGCATATTGGATTCTCTTTCGTTTCTGTCGGAATCCTAAAGGACCAATTCAATCGAGCTCATCCTATTTGTTTCCGGCCTGAGGCTAATAGACGTAATGAAGGATTCAGCTTTTGTGTTTAGAAGCCGGATCCCGCGGGTTCGAGGGGTGCAGACCTACCAAGGCTGGGTTCATACGAGGGCAATTTCAATGAACCCAAGAGTTCACATTGGTGAAAGAATCTTTTAGGTGCGAGCGGGAAATTGCATTCGATAAATAGGGGGAAAAAGAATTATTGGGGCGATAAAACCCGATCAACGCACCCACCTGGTTTACTTCTCACTGGCGAGTGCGTCTCATGGTATTGTTACCGCGAGATTTCCCTTACGGAAAAATCTTACGGGATCTTATGAGATTTTTGAAGCAAAAAATTTCATTGGATTCCTATAGAATTCCTATAGGATTCTTATAGGATTCCTAAAGCATCCTATAAGAATGCTATAAGAATCATATAGGAATTCTATGGAATTCATAAAAAAAAATTCCATAATATTTTTAAGTTTAAAAAATCTCCTAGGATCCTATAGTATCTTTTCGTTTGGGTAGCGATGTTACCACCTTGGAAGTCCAGTCCGTGAGTTTCACGACTGCATACAGATAGTCTCGGAAGGTAATTTAACAAGGCAATGAGGGTGATTTTTGGACTGGTAACTGGGAAGGAGACCATCCTTACATGACAGTACAACCATTCTGCATTTCTGAAGGTAAAGGTACCAACATGGACATCATCAGCCCCGGTTAGGTAACCATGACCACCGGTTTCCCGAACCGACTTGTGCTGTCTGCGCGCCACCGTCTCGTTCAGCACCTTGTCAAAGGTGCCCATTTTAGCACCTTGTCAAAGGTGCCCATTTGAGCACCTTTGAGGCTTCCTTGAAAGTCATACCTTGATATTGTAACAGACGAAGCAGAGAGTAGAGATAGCAACTGCAGCCGACACTCCCCTCGAACCCCATTCATTGACATAGATGTCATTTTCTATCCTCCACTTAACGGACACACACAATAACTCCTCAGCGGCCAGTCAAGGCACTCAACGCGACAGACATTTTCCATTCAGGGACTCCGTCTGGCATGAATCCCGCCGCCAGGTAGCCTCCCCGAAAAGCCACCAGACATCTCTGTTGCATTTCCACCCCCCCCCCCCCTCTTCCTTCAACTGCACATCTGATTACACTCTCGAAATCTTTCGTTCAAGCGGCTCCGCACGAGATAAATGACCTGATATTCTTCCAACTTCTTCTTTTCGTGAAGTTCTGGCGAGACTCCCGGATTTTCTCAGGACGTGGAATATCTTTTAACATGGCAGCAATAACAAAAAACTCCATACGTGTTAACCACCATGAGAGTGATAGCAAATACATAATACTGCTTTGACAAGATTTTCCTCAATAGCCAAGTCCTTTTCTGAAGAGATTCCCAGAAGTTTCTTGGATGTCACAGCCAACAGGGTCCAGCTACAGTAGCATATGGCGTCTTGTTTACCGTCTGTCAGCGGAATCTGTCAGCGGAATCTGTCTGCGGAATCTGTCTGAGGCGTATTTTATCCAATGATCCAATAATGGGTTTCCATCCTCTCATGCGGGCAAAAGGGAGGAGGCGGCCTGAGCTGATGCCATTCGAACGAGAGAGATCTCGAAGTGCCGCATATTAATCCCTCCATTAATGGACAGCATTGCACTTTAACCCCGGGATTAATGAACGGCGAGGAATCCGTAAAATTAAACCTCTGCCTATTGAGTCTCAACAGCTTTCTCACCCGTGGAATTAATGGCATCAGAATTGATGAAACGAAATTGTCTCAAAATCGGATATTAAATTACCCGGAAGTACTGCATATTTTAATTCGGAAACAGTATGAGGATCAGTCTAAGAACTCGAGTTTTTTCCATCAACCAATTTAAGATGTCAAAATATTCAGACACTTTTCTTTCCAATCAACCTAAGATATCAAGACTTTTCTGGTACTTCTCAAATGCGTCTGCGGTAGAGAATGACCAGAAGCGGTGAAACCCCTTCGCGTCCGGGCCATATGGCACATGACGACTCCAGCTGCCTTCTCTTCCATCGACTTCGTAAAATCTATTTTTGACATCTGCGATGCGAGAGGGAAGGACGCTCCAGTTCCCAAACGATCTCCATGGGCTCTCGAAGGGTCAGCAGCGAAGACTTCCACCGACCTTCCCCGACCTCCACCGTCCTCCACTTCTCCCGACCTTCCCGAACCTCCACTAGACTTTCGAGAGAAAAATGATGAATAAGAAGATTGGAGGATGAAAGGATGAAGACTGAAACCCTTGAGATTTTCGTTTTTCGACAAATCTCAACAGGATGGAAAATTGTGCTCTTGGGATCTTGTATGAGAGGAGAATCCATCATCCTCGACGGGATGCTGGGATTTCCGTTATTTTTTTTTTTAAATCACATAATTGCCTTATGAAAAGAGGATCGTTTTCCTCCGGTTCCCGCAACCCTTTCATTCATTGGTCTCACCCTATTAATAAAAGGATTACGCCAGCTCACCTTGCTAAATATAGTCGCCATTAATGAAAGAATTATTCACCATACTATATCGAGGTGCATATTTTGCCTCTGCAAGCCTCGTGAATGAAACTATAGGTGCTGTATTTGTAAAGTAATCCAGCACCGTTTTCAGTGACGCATTTAGCACACAGAGACCAAAAAGTTTCGAAGAGTTTCTCACCACGGTCATGGTTGATGGTCAGCAGTTCAGCCGTTCAACGAGCGACGAGTCGACAAAATCAACCGACAGGCGATTCCAATCCGGGGGAACCGAATCCCGCAAGGCTCCTGAGATTCTTTCTTCCCAAGTTTCAGGGAGATGTCAGAAAAAGCCGTCTAAGCCTTCGTAGTCTCGAACCGAATCTCCATCTATATGCAAAGAGGAGACAAGCGCACGACTGGAATATTTTGGAAGGGAAGGCGTCACTGGATCAAACCGAGCCTTCGGTCCCAACGAACCATCTAATTGTCGGTAATTTTCGGTTGAAAAAGTAAATAGCGCTAACCGGAATTCGTACAGCTTCTCTTGCTATCTGACTCCTTCAGGAATTTCCTTTTTCATTCAACTACTCCCGCTTCACTCAACAATGAACTCGAATTCAGCGGGTTTTTTTTCGAAGATAAAACGTCTTAACATATTCCTGTCATTTTCCAATATTTTTCGAATTCTACAGTCAGAATTGAAATTTTTCTTGTGAAAAGTTCCTGGGATAATTTGTTTTTTTTGCTTGGATCTTTTCCCTTCAACGTCCTCACCGAATTCCCGCCGAGGAAGATGGAGAGGAAAGTCCGTATGAAGAGGAAGAGGATGAACAAGAAGATGATAATTGGATAAAGAGAAAACTTCTTCATAACCGCCATTAATAAATTAGTAATCCTCTTCCTGCACACTTTCTCCTCCACCATCCTTGGCGGAAATTCGGTCAGGACGTGGCTGTCGGAGGGAAAAGATCCAGGAAAACAAAATAACGACAATGGAAAAATGACAGGAAGATGTTGAGACGTTTAATAATAATTTAAAAAAAAAACCATTGAATTCGAGCGCGTAGTTGAGTGGAATAGGCGTAGCATTAAAAAAAAATTCTTGTAATAATTATATTGTTCTAAACGGGTGCCAAAGTGTTTATGGCATATTCGTTTCGTGGCGAATTTGCATGCATGAACCACAAACGGAACTAATGGGGCAGGATCGGAAAAAAGCTTCTAGTGCAGCCCAGCTGGATCCAGCTGAATGCATGGGGTTAACATAGATAAATTATTCTCCTTCAATCAATCTCTTCCACGTGAAGGAGACGAATTAAAAATGACAGTCATTGTTCTGTTATGGATGCAACGACTTACGGTCGCTAAATCCAATTGTATTGAGATTTATCATGCAATCTTCATGGAATTCCAGGCATGTCATTGTTTTCCAACCATGCAAGTTCTTGTCGTTGAAATACCGTTAGTGAAATTTTCTCTCTTTGACCAAGCAAGGCAAATATGCCATGAGGATATGCCTTATTAAGAGCGTAATTCCTTCAGCAATTAGTACTTACTCGGTACTTTCGGAGCTTACTTTTCGATCTTGCGAAAAGAAGCCTTTCAGCGTCAAAATTTCCCTTTCCCTTCCAGGCTGTGACGCGATCGGATTCATCGGAGGACTGACCGGAACGGTGTCCATCGTCACACTTTCGGCCATCTCGTTAGAACGGTTCCACGGGATCAGGAATTGCTGGCAACCGGGATCGCGGTTCACTTGGCCCGCCGCCAGCATGACGCGATGGCAAAGACTCATCAGCATCACCATGTTCTGGCTCTACGGCTTTCTCTTCAGCGCCATCCCTTTGGTGGTGCCCGGCATCCTCTACGTCCCTGAAGGATACCTCACCACCTGCAGCTTCAACTATCTGGCTACGGATCCTGCCAACATCGCGTTCATCCTGGTATTCTTCGTCGCAGCCTGGCTTCTCCCTTTCATCGTCATCACGTCCAGCTACATCGGGATCATGTGTTTGGTCACCAGAAACTACGGGGTATTAGAATCCGCCAACCCAGATAATCGGTGGCAGCGGCAGCAGGAATGGAAGATCTTCAAGACAGTCGTCATTTTGGTCGTCGTCTGGTTTCTCGCATGGACGCCGTATGCTTGCGTCAGTCTTTTAGGCATCACAGGCATGAAGGACCTCATTTCTCCCGCCTCGTCCATGATCCCAGCCATCATCTGTAAGATCTGCAGCGCCATCGATCCTTTCATCTACACCCTGACCCATCCTTACTTCAAGCGAGAGCTCAGGAGACACTTCAACGTGTTCCGCCGGCTCTTCGAAGAAGAGAAGAGAATAAAGACATTTTCCTTCAAGGCAAACGACGCCCGAGTCTCCACCTCCCACGCCTCCCTCTCCCAACAATGCCATCGTTGCATGCAGAACGGGAGAAAGGGCAACCAATCCACTTTCCTGTGACTGCAGTCCGGGATATCCGGGAGCTATCCTGCCACGACTTCGGCGATTCGGCACTGATTGACGCTCTGGAAAAATGACAACATACCAAATCCTCCGGCGAACATGGGAGGAATAAATAAAAAATTTTCAGGTCTCGCCAACCCCTTACGGTATTTTCTGGGCATTCGTAAATATATTGTCGTCGGAGAACGTTACGACAAATTAAAGAAGTTTCATCGGATTCTGCTAGAACTTCGTATCCGTTGTACCAGAAGCTGCTTGGCAGGCCTTTCCAGCCCATCGTTGAAAATGTCTCGAGAGGAGAATGGAAAATCGGAGTGAAATTTGGAGCGGAAATTTCCTGCCGACGCGCTCATTTTCCTGATTTTTTCCTTTGGTCCTTTCGCATCCGATGTGGCATGTGATATGTAAATTACCTGATGAGAATGAGAACGGAGTTTATTTATTTGTTTCCATCGACAGCATCTATCGATCTGATATCGCTTGTTCTGCTGTGTTGTACACAATGTTCTCGGTTTGGGAATTTTTTATCGAGCGCGTGGCTGTCTTGCTCATCGTGACGTGACGCGTGAAACATATCTACGTGGAATCACTATGGTAATAAAGGCGGTTTTTTTTTTCTCCAAACAGCAGTATCTTTGTTTGGAAGGACAAGGGCTCAATATTGCCTTGTGTGGTCCAGTAACCCTACTGGTCTGAAGCTTGAGTTAGAGGCTCGCTTTCATTGGTGAACACGAACCTCCTTCGAATACCCATTCATTGACGCGATCGCAATATATATTTAGATTTTGCATGTCGATTTCGTTGTTGATCCTCCACTTAGACGACACACGTGAACTCGTAGCTAAGCAGTGGACACAATGAGACTTTTTTCCATCCAGGTACATGGATCGAATCCCGATCCCGCTGCCACGAAGCATGCTCCTCGAAATGTTCCTGGCAGAAGGCCACTAGATGCCTTCGTGCGATTTAGACTTCCCATCCCCAACCGCGCAAAACGTTGCCTCTAGTCGCACACTCTACTCAACGCTTCAAGCGGATCCGGGCGATGCAAGTAGCCAGGCCTTTTCTTCGGAGGCTTTTTTTTCCTCGGATTTTCTCACAGCATGCCATGGGCTTGTCCTTTAAAAGAACAGTCCTTCAGGAATTTCCTTTTTCATTCAACTACTCCCGCTCCACTTAACAATGAACTCGAATTCAGCAGGTTTTTTTTTTCGAAGATTGGAATGGAACGTCTTAACATATTCCTGTGATTTTCCAATTTTTTTTCCGAATTCTGCAGTCAGCATGCCATGGGCTCTTCCTTTAAAAGAACAGTTCCAGACGACAGCAAAAAACCTTCTGACAAACACTCTGAGTGAATGCCAGTCCCACTAAGAGACCTGTTGGAGTGCCGCGAATTCGTCCATCGATTAATGTACCGCATTAATCATTTGACTATCGAACCGCAAGGAACCAGCTGGTGCCAATCTCTATCAAAGGCCTCTCGGATGTGGATTTCATCAGGTTTCTCATCTGAGGAATTAAAGGCATCAGGATTGGAGAAACGGAATCGTCTCAAAGGCGGAAATGTCGTTTCTCGGAACTGCTACTCCATCTTAGCTGCAAACAGGAAGAGAACCTTTCTAAGAAGTCGAGCCTTTTCAATCAGTTTTCGAGTGCTCTTCTGTCCAGTCTCAGATGCCAAGACCCAAGATTTTTTTCCCTAAGATATTCGCCCTAGAGTATACCGAGAATGCCCCGGCCATACCAATGCACTCCGGCTGCCTTCTCGTCCATCGACTTCGTAAAGTCTATTTTTGAGACCTGCGAAGCGGAAGGGAAGGACGCTCCAGTTCCCAACCGATCTCCACGGGTTCTAGGAGGGCCAGTAGCGAAGACCTCCACCGACCCTGATCTCCACAAACCTCCACACGCTTTCGAGAGGGGAATGACGAATTTTAGAAGATCGAAGGATAAAAAAGACCTCAAGAGGATGAAAATAATATTAAATATTTCAGAGGCGACTGGACTCGGCCGTGCATTAAGCCTCGAAAGCATTCTGAGGGATTCGTTGAAGACTGATTATGGCCATTGCGATTAATGGCCATTATTTTTTTTGCATTCGTCAAACCGGACTGGGAGCGTCTGGATGAATTTCATGGAAATTCTCCACAGAAAACTCTCATTTTTAAATGGTGGGTGAAAAAAAGTAATACTAAACCCTTCCCGGCCTCTTTTGAAGATTTGGATCCTTCTGTGCATAACGCTCGACTTTCGAGACTCTTGTTTCCCTTGATATCCGAAAAAGGCCTGCTGCGTTAAAATTCCTAGTTCCGAACCGTGTCTCGTTTCAATCTGCATGCGAAGAGATGTTTGTACAGCTACGGTTTTTTGTGGCGGGGGTGGGGGGGGGGGGGGGGGGGGGGGGAGAAAAGGATTTTCTCCGTAAATGGAGATTTCCTTGCTAATAGACCATTTAACGGCGCATACGTTCTGTTTTTGAAGAAATCAATATCCCGAACAGGAAATCATACTGTTTCTTCCGCATCGAAGGAATTGATGAATTCCTCTTCCATCAAGCATCGGTTGACGTTGGCATCTGGTGACACTTCCAAGACGACGACAAGGGGTCATTCACAAAGTCATGTTGCGACAAAATATTACTAACATTACTAAACAAGCCGACCCGTGGAATATTTCCACGAACTCTTGGGCAAAAACTCCCGGGTTCATTCGTGAAGATCAGTGGCCCTCTCAGTGGCCCTCTCAGTGGCCCTCTCATCGCTATAGGCAGCAGACCCTCTTCCCCGATTTTTACACGTCCCCAAGTACAACTCCCTGGAGTCCCCTTTCATTCCGCTGAAGGAGGATTTCCTCGCCGGGGGGAGATCTGTGCCATCACATTTATCGGAATTTCTACCCCTTTATTGATTAGCACTTTTTCCCGTCGATCACAACCCTGTCCGCTTCACTTTTCATGCAAACCCATGAGTGAATTATACGAATATGGAAACGGGATGCTTACGACACGACCGGCGGCATCTTTGCGATCCGAGGATAAATCTTTCTGTTCTGTCCCACCTAGATGGGATTTCGCCACTTTCACACTCGGGTTCCTTCTTCGCGCGGAGGAACACGGGACTCCAAGTGTTGAACGTGGGGTTTTCCCGCGTGGAAGTTCATATCGAGGTGTGAACATTCCTCAGTTGGGGGGGGGGGGTTGCGCAAGATGTACAATGACTATCTCTCCAATTCTCAAGAACGGATCCGACAATCGCAAAGGCCGGAGAGAACATGAGAGCTCGAGAGCGTGAGCCGGCCACTCCAATCTGCGGGAAGTGTTCCATAAACTGTTTCTCGGGTGTTCCCGAGCGCAGTCTGCAGCCCTCTCAACGATATAAGCAGCAGCACTCTATCCCATTCTCGAGAGTGACCCGTGGAAAAAAATGAGGAGTCTCAGCCGAGCAGCTCAATGCATCCTCGACTGCGTGCGGCGGGAGATAATGGAAAGCGACAGGAGGATAATGGTCGCCTCCCTCGAGCAGAGGACAGGAACACATGAGTTCGTTCCATCTGCTCATTCTTTGTCCGTCGGTTTCCTTTCCGTTTGGACAAGGGAGAAGAAGACTAGGCGATAGGGGAGGCCTGCCGGCCTCTGTTCGTTTCGTGATGATGCCTAGATGATTCGTCTTCTTCCAGCGATATAGAAGGAGATTAATATGCATCGCCTGCGGCTAAAAGACCAGCTTCTTCCCTCTTTCCCAAATGAGGCGAGGGCGCTTGAGCGAAGGAGTCGGATCTTGGCTTCAAGTCGAAATCTGGAATGCACCGAGCTGTACTGGAGATGAGGCGCATTATTCGAATGGGCATTGCAAGAATACGAATCGGAAAAAGGGATTTCCCATTCATCTTCGATGAATCAAAGTATTGTGCATGATAGCCCCTAGATGGAAGAGAGTCATGCAATCAAGACCTATTCATGGATTCAGCTTAACTCGGGAAGGAAATAAGAGCATTCTCAGTAATAATCATTATCACAGGCATTGTCTTCCCTTACGGAAATGTCCTATAGGAAACCTATAGTTATTTCTAATAGGAAACCTATAGACTTTCCTATAGGTTTTTGAAACACAAAAAACCTATATGATCCCTATAGGGTCTTATAGGTCTCCTGACCTATAGGATTCAGGGAGGAAATTTTGGGTTTCGAAACCCAGGCATTACGACGGATGAGGCGACCGGGGATAATATTGGCGCAGGATTTCGGTGTAAATAAAAAAACCGATTAGGGGTTTTTCCATGGTAGGGATACATCCATTATTAATACCAGTACTACGGGGGTCTGCATAATTTATGGCCCCGTCCACGTGTCGCTGAATTGCACATCTACTTCCTTTGGCAGTAAGAAGTGGTATTCTTCTCTCGACCAAAGGAAGTAGAAGACAGAACCTGCGAGCACGTATCTTTACTAAAACTCCATCTGGATAGAGTCTTCTCAGTTTCGTACGTGGCTTTCAAAAGGAATAAGGGCAAATTTCTTCACGGGACTTCATGATTATATCTGGAAGATGGGGATGACAAATAAGGAACTGTCAAAGTTAATTAATTGCTACAATGAGGCAAGGCGAGACATTAGGGGACATACAAAACTCTCTTGTGAGAGTATTCGTTCTATGAGGAACCCTATAGGTTCTATAGGGGGATCTATACGTTCTATAGGGAACTCAATAGGTTCAATAGGGGACTCTATAGGTCCCAAACTGAACTGTATAGGGCATATACGATCCTATAGGATTCCTTTAGGTTCCTATAGGATCCCTATAGGATTCCTATATATTCCTAAAGGAATTTTCGTAAGGGTTATCATAACCGTAGGGTCTTTTGACCAGCGCTAGGAGACGGTTTTTTTTGAAAGCCTAGGCTGGCGTGTTATCCACAATATGGTACCGAAAGTCCATCCCGAAGGAGGAGCTTGAAAGAATCATGTGTCAGTCTTGTGGAATCCATCCAGGGTTTCCCTGCGGAAACCCTGCTCCACATAATGTCTGACCGTCCCACCCATGCCATCAAAGGCTACATCCATCGCCATGACGCCGCTGCTGTATTATCACCTCCGACACGCATACTGGATTGCTAAAACACCTGCTCTCCCGTATGTAGAAAAATAAATTGCCTGAGTCGTGGAAAATACCACCGGTCGTATCTGGTGGAATTAGAGCTTTTTCACGACAAGGCAGCTGAAGGCCACGAAGCCGGATTTCGCCCTGCTGTACAAGCAGGCGAGAGTACTCTACGTGACCGAGTTCTCCTGTCCAGCCGAGTAGAACATGAGATCCAAGGAGGAGGATTAAAGGGCAAAATATTTTGGACCTTATATTTGAGTTACGACAAATGTAGCTGGG